CAACTACCATTTGATGGAATCCTTAATATGTGCAACTACTACAAGACTAGTAAAAGGACTACATTGAAAAAAATAGATAAATATTAGAGATAAATAAAATGTACTGGGGTCTTATATTTAAGACTAAATTAAAAATCAAATTAAATTTTATATTAATGATTGGAGGTAGCACATGCCATGTATTCACATGATCAATGGAATATAAATCATTCAAAATCTCATATGGATAGTTCAGATTCACAATTTTTAATAAACAATCTTTTCAATGATACCTTTATTTTTTAAAGATATGTTAGTTATGATATTATATTTATTTTAAATTCTGTATCTATTAAAACAAAAAAATATTAAAATATATAAAAAATTTAAATTCAATATGAACCATTAAAAAATCGATTTAGATGGTCCAAATTACGATGAGCACTCCATATTCATTATTGTGATGAGCATGAAATGTGCTCTGGGGAATTATGGTAAAAGTAGACCAATCCTCCAAAATTAATTTTCATTGTGTTAATGCTAAAATTAAGTGTATGGTTAATTCCTGACCCTCCGGCCGCACAAGGACAAGCCTTTGCCTTCATGAGGCCGTGTACCATGGGTTCGTTAAATATTTTCCACTGAAATTGCGCTTTAATTTGTCTCAACGTTGTTTAAATAATTCATCAGATATTTCAGATTTATAATAGATCACATTTATTTGTTTAATAATTATTCCATGAAATTCATTTTATAAATGCAGATTAATTTTAACCTTTACAAGTCTTGGGGATCGCTGGCAATTGACTATATTGCCCCCCGCACTGTGGCAGTGACTCAGCTTTCAAGTCTTGGTTATTGGCCATTGACTTATGTGCTGTTTTTTATTAGTTACAACTACTATTTGATGGAATCCTTATCATGCGCAATTACTATAAGAGTATAAGGACTACTTTGAAAAAATAAATAAATATAAGAAACAAAGTGAATTGGGATATTATATTTAGGATCAAATTAAAAATTAAATTAGCCTTTATATTAAGAATTAGAGGTAGTATATGCCATGCATTCAGATGATCACATCCTCTCTGCTCGTCGACAACCTTATAACTTGTCATAATCATGACTCGTTCAACGCGGGAACCTCGTCAAAGTCCTCTCACAGTTGTAACTTTGTGATAAATGACGTTGTTGTTGGCTAGAAATTAGCGTGTGAGATGCATGATAGATTCTTGTCGGGATCATCAGAAATAGAGAGCCTAAGCCCAATCGTGAATTTTGGGGAAGCAATCTTAACCTCTTACTAGTTTTTCAGATTAATTATAGTTATTAGTTTATGTCAGGCATGATGTTGACGTGGAGGAGTTTCTTAATCATTCTTTTCAGAGATTTATTTCAGAGATATGCGGTCTATGGACGGTGTTCTGTAACAGCTTTTCTGATTATTAATTCAAAAGAAGATAAACATTCAAATGGATGGGAATTATAGTAAAAGTCGACCAATCCTCCAAGATTAATTTTCACTGTGTTAGTGCTAAAATTAAGTGTCCATCAAAGTTAATTATGTTCAGTTCGGAACCTCTCCTCTTCCTTTCTCTTCTGTTTTTAACCATGAGATTAAAAACTATTATTAAAATATTAAATTATAAAAATAAACAAATAATAAATTACAAACTATATTAAAATAATTCTAATGGTTTGCAAGTACACTAAATGTTTCTAAAAAATTTTTTATAAATATTTTATAAAAAATTAAAATCTAAACCATTGAAATATGTTAATCTAAGGGTTTGGGGGAAAAAAAAAACAGAGAACGAAAGAGTATGGGAAGGGACGAGGAGAGGTTTCGAACCGTACTTATGGTTAATTCTTGACCCTCCGGCCGTACAAGGACAAAGCATTATTGCCTACATGAGGCCGTGTACTATGGTTGGTTAATTATTTTCCACTAAAATTGCGCTTTAATTTGTCCCAACGTGGTTTAAATAATTCATCAGATGTTTCAGGTTTATAACAGATCAGATTTATTTGTTTAATTATTCCATGAAATTCATTTTATAAATGTATATTAATTTTAACCTTTACAAGTCTTGGGGATCACTGGCCATTGACTATATTGCCCCCCGCGCTATGGTCGTGACTCAGCTTTCAAGTCTTGGTTGTTGGCTTCATTGTCGGTTGTTGGCCATTTGACTTATGTGCTGTGTTTTTCAATTATTGGCCAGGTCGATCGTTACGTTTTTCTGAGTCTGAGTCCTTTCTCCCCAAATTAAAGACAACTAGTGAGCAACTTGAATCTCCTTGCGGCCTATATATATAGAGATAGAGAGGACGTAATGGAAGACGTAGGCAAACAAGGAAGCATATACTGAAAAATGGGGTATTCTGTCCGAGAAGATGTGTGGTGGGTGATGGCCATAGCCATATTCATATTACTATTAGGGTTTCATGCAGAAACTGAGGGGTGCTTGAAAGAAGAGAGAGAAGCTCTTCTGAAGTTGAAAGATGCTTTCAATTACCCGAATGGCTCATCTCTTCCTTCTTGGAATAACCAAACCTCTGATTGCTGCACTTGGGAGTCTGTACAGTGTGACAACTCTACTCACAGAGTGATAGTACTTGATTTGAGTTACACAAGAGCTGAAGAGTTGGGACACATCAAATGGTCACTCAATGCTTCTTCTTTTCTCCCCTTCATCCAGCTTCAAGTGTTGCATTTGGATGGGAATTACTTGTCAGGTCACTCTCTTTCTTTTAACTATTCTATGCATACATAGATATATCTATGCACACACAATACATAGAAATACATTGTTAATTAAGACCGACATATTTATAAGCATTTTGAACTTTGATTTTTGAACATGTAAAAGCATATTAGTTACAGTAAAAAATTAGTTAAAAATTATTATGATCATATCATTCATTGCCTCTTGTTCTTTTTTGAGGGTTTCCTCTTTTAGCCCACTGATTTGCCGGGGTAAGGGTCCATTCTAGTTCTAAGTAAATATTTGTGGATAATTTCTTATTGGAATAATGAAACTTTCCGTCCCTCAAATTTGCTTCACTTATTGATTTGGTCCATGAAATTTAACTAACTGTTATAAATCAAGTCCCTAAAGTTTCGTAATCATGCAACATTAGTCATTATGGTTTGAAGATATATAATCCTAAATGCACATGTGCTATCTCTAAGAATTAATTCAAGGATGATAACCCTCACTTTGCTTTATTTATGAAATTTGAACCAATTTTTTATATTTTCTCCCAATAATTATATGTTATATCATTTCATTTATTCTCTCTCATGCTTATCTTTTTCTTACTCAATTTCTCTCTCATTCACCATTTCTCTTGATAAATATGGACATTATTTTTGGAAAAAAATACATTTTTACATATTTATTATATTACCTTTAAGCAATTTTAACAAACTCTATAATCTACATAATTTAATTATTTATATCTTATAGATAGCATCAGAGAGAGTAAAATTGCGTATGAAACTTTATTTCGGAACTTGAGTGATAAAAATTAAACTTCACAGACCAAATTGATAACAGAGACAAATTAAATTTGAGTACCAAAAGTTTTATTACTCATTTTTAAAAAAATATATTCAAGTAAGATATTTTAGAAAATGTTTGAGATACTAAACGTTTTGATTCGTTTTTTAAATATTTTTTTTAAAATAAATTACTAAACAGGACATTTTCTTGGATATATAGAGGGGCCCAAAACAAGCTTAATAAACACTACATTATCAAACTTTCACTTCATGTTAAATTATGAAGAGGATGATAATATTAATTATACGAGTTATTTTTTTTATAATTCTTTATACCCACTAATATCCATAGCAACTGATCACATGTTATTTCTGGGACAGAGCTGTTTGGCGATATCAGGCTGGTGAACTTGGAAAAGTTGGTGTTACAAGCAAATATGCTCACAGAATTCCCATATTTCGATGCTAAATCTTTGTCTTCTATATCATACGATATTTTGAGTGATACATGTAGTTACTGAGACGTGCATCAAAAGTATATCTATTTTTAGAGAAAAGATTACCGGGCCATGATTTTAAAAAAATGCTAAAAGAAATATATAGACAAAGTTCTTCCATTAAATATATGAAAGTTTCCCTTTTTTTTTTTCTTGATTTTGTTAGGAAGTCAAATTATTTACCTTTGCCATATAATCATCTCAACTGAATAATTTATGCGCCTTTATTTAATTGAGAGAATTGAATGAAGTGTGAAAAGTAAGAGATAAGATGACGTTTTCTTACCTAGCAGATTCGTTATCAATAAATTTTAACAACATACACACACACACACACACACTAATTAATTTGAAGGAGCTGGGGCTTAACGCACACATTTCCATTTGGCATGTGACAGACTTTTCTCATTCACGTAATTGAAGGGGCTGTGGCTTGGTCATAATTACTTGGAGGGCAGTATTCCAGAATCTATTACGTCTCTTACTTCCCTCACCCTGTTGATATTAAGCGAAACAACCTGACTAGATCATTGCCACAACAAGGTACGCATCATATTTTATAGCATCTGCCATGGAAAGAAAATAATCCATTAATTGAGTATTCGCCAATAAACATCAAATTTTCTAATAAAATTTTTTTATTTTAATTAAATAGGTCAAACTTTCCTTGTTCGTGCAAATTGAGTCGACTATTCAATGAAACCAATTTCCAACCATCTCCTAATTGGCATGAGGCAACTCGCTCTCCCCCAGGGAGAAGTAGTCTAAAATAATGTAGTCAAAACAAATAACAATTGACAAAATAATAATAATAATAAGATCGAGCCGCATTTACACACATGGACAGGCTAAAACTAATAAACGGAAGTGACTTTATATTTCTTATTTTTCCTTATGCATTCTTTATATTTCATTTATTTTTACTTATATTTTTGGGCTCAATGTTCATGCTTTTTTCCTGGGCCTAATATTAATTTAAATACGTTGTTCTGACGAAATAAATTTAATGAAGAACAATGGTATATGTTGCAGGAGGCTTATGCAATTTGAAGAATCTTTCATTATTGGATCTGGGCTACAATGAATTTGAGGGGCAACTTCCTGCGTGTCTTGGCAATTTGACGTCTCTACGTGCCCTTTATCTCTCTCAAAATCGTTTTGAGGGAACCTTTCCTTCCTCACTCTTTCATACTTTGAGGTTTCTAACAACAATTTTTCTTACCGATGACAATTTCAGTGGCTCATTTTCACTCTCGTCGCTTGCCAACCTCAAAATCCTTACCATTTCTTGCTCCAACACCAACCTGAGGCTTGAAACAGAGAACCCCCCATTTATCCCTTCCTTCCAATTAAGGTCCTTCACAATCCGCAACTGCACTCTAAATGAAGCAAGCAATAAAACAATGCCTACCTTTCTTCTTCATCAATATGACTTGGTAGTTCTAGAACTTAGCCACTTGAACATTTCAGGCACCTTCCCGTCCTGGCTTTTGACAAATAACACAAAATTGAATTATTTCAGTCTGAGCCAAAACTTGTTCATTGGTCCCTTTGAACTCAATTCCACCTCAAAGTTGCTTCAAATGGAGTCTTTTGATATTTGCTCTAACCCCATTGGAGATGAAATACCTTCTCATATTGGCTTCATTTTTCCCAACTTGATCTCTATTGACATGTCCTCAACTTTATTGCGAGGTTCCTTCCCAGCTTCAATAGGTGAAATGAGACAACTGAATGACCTCGACTTGTCAGATAATAATTTATCTGTTTACTTGCCCCAAGAATTCGGTCAAGGTAACAATGAATTGAGGTTTTTGAAGTTGACAAACAACCACTTGAGTGGCCCATGTCTTCCCATAGGATCAAATTTCACATCTTTGTTGTTTTTGGATCTCAACAACAATAACTTCAAAGGAAAGCTTGAAGGTGGGGTCATGAATTGTACTAAATTAAGAATGCTAGATATTGGTGCCAACCAGCTATCTAGTGAATTACCTAACTGGATTGGAAACCTTCAACATTTGAGTTACCTCATTTTGTCAAAGAATTCTTTAACAGGTTCACTACCAGAAAGCTTTTGCAACTTGACCAACCTTACATATCTAGACCTTTCTAAAAATAAATTCACTGGCTCTTTGCCAATCTGTCTAAATTTTCCATTGTTGAACTACTTGCACTTGCAAAGCAACCATTTCAAGGGACCTCTACCTTCCACTTTGGCTAATTCCCCTTTATTATTGACTTTAAATTTGATGAATAACAATTTTTTAGGTCAAGTTTCAAGATTGAATGGCTCATTTTTGAGTTTGAGTGTCCTCATGTTAAAAGGAAATAAACTTGAAGGCTCTATTCCTACACGTTTATGTGAGCTCAAGAATATCAGGTTATTAGATCTTTCTCAAAATAAGCTTTCTGGAGGCATACCATATTGCTTGAATAACATCACATTTGGGAAGATAGATGCACCAAGGAAAACTGAAATAGGACATTTTGTTGTGTCATGGACTACAAGAAAGTTATGGTATTCATTTGACTGTGTGACTGGTGAAGCTTATATGGGTGAAAAAAGACAAAATGTTACATTGTATAAAAACCAAGAAGTAGATTTTACAACAAAAAGCAGGTATTAATCTTATACAGGAAGCATTTTAAATTTCATGTCTAGGATGGATCTCTCAAGTAATGAATTGACAGATGAGATTCCTTTCCAAATTGGATACTTAGGCAACATCCATGCATTAAATTTGTCAAACAATCAATTGAAAGGGCCTATTCCAGAAACATTTTCCAACCTCAAGCAGATAGAGAGCCTTGATCTTTCACACAACAAATTGATAGGTCACATTCCTGAACAACTAATTCAGTTGTACTCCTTGTGCGTCTTCTCGGTGGCTCATAACAATCTATCTGGAACAACACCTGACATGAAAAATCAATTTGCAACTTTTGATTCGGCTAGTTATGAAGGGAATCCTTTTCTATGTGGTCCTCCTCTACAGCAAAATTGCTCAAAAGCAAGGAGAAACAAGCAATCTCATCATTCAGAAGGGGATGAGTTTCAAGATGCCTTCTTATGGAGTTTTGCTGGAGCATTTGGGGTCTTTTTTATAAGTGTCATTATAGTTCTTTATTTGAACCCTTACATTTGCAATTACAGACTACTCATACTAGAGAGAGTTATAACAAGTTATTTGTACGAGTGGTGGCAAAATAGAAAAATGTTTTAATTTTATTTCATAAGATTATGACTATGTAAGAGATGGCTTGATGATGATCTCTAGAATAACAATAAGTAAAATATTGCTAGTTTGAAGTCTTCTCGTGATCAGGAAGGAAACGAAATTGAAATATTCGAATCATTACTTTGTCTCTCTCCAACGTGAAAGTACATTTGCTCATACACTTGCAATGACAAGTTTTTATTAATATGCTTACTCTTGTTGTGTCCTTTAAGTATATATAAACAGAGAGAAACAGAGCAAGACGCAGCTTATATAAAGGCTATTCACATTCATCTTTCTTCACCACGCACTTCCACAACGTTATTCCGACCTTCCATTAAGCTACCTTAGCTGCAGCCACCGCCTCCAAATGTATACAGTTTTGTTTGAACAATTGTTTAAGTAGATGATTTCCATCTATATAGTTTTAGCAGCGTTGATAATAAATATCAGTACTAAGATTATGGGACCTTACCCACAAAACTTAACTGCTTTAAACTCTTTTCATTTCTTTTCTTTCTTTCTTTCTTTTCCCTTTTTCTTCTTTTAAAGAATCTTTGCAAAAGCACATCCATAAAGAGATGGTCAATCAAGACATTATCGCATCCTTTGGTGGACCCCTACAAATAAAGCTACAGCCAGTTGCATGATTCCTTTTTCTCATAACAAAAATATTTGTTTATTTGTTTTAGCATCTTTAATTTTACTGATATTCATATTTATAGAACTAGGTTGGACCAGCTTAGGATTTTGATGACCTTTGTTTGTGAAATTTCAGCATCACATAGAGACACTACTAGAAAAAAGACTTTTAACGTCGCAAAATAACGACGGTTAAGCAGAAAAATGACGTGAAAAAAAAGCGGTGGCATTTTTGTAAATAAGTTGATTGAGTCTTGATTTTCCATGACGGTTGTTAAGAAAACCACCGTGGAAAGTTTTAAATTAACCCTACGGCGCCTTCATTTTCTCTTATTTCTCTTTCATTTCATTAGTGCGTCGTGGTCCCCCTCTGTCCCACCACCAAAAAACTTCCATTACCGGCCATTCCCCCCACTCCCCCACCGTTTAAACTCCTCTATTTAGCTTGTGGTGTCTTGCCGCCGTCCGTCGCTATCTGCCGCCGTTTGAACGCTTCCTTTTTTGAATTTGAATCATCTCTACTCTGTGAGTCCTCTTCTTTCATTCTTTTCAATTTTTCTTGGTTTGTTGAATGTTTTGACTATGAAAATCTGTTGTATTTCAAATGGGTTTGTTAATTTTACATTGTGGTTGGCTTGTATTGTTCATTTTACATTTTTTATGTGCTTGAACCGTTGATTGGTGGGCATTTGGTGTGAGAAAACCTCAATTCCTTCCTATATACTGTATTAGAAACATGTTTAAATGTTTGAAATTGATTAATTGTGAATTTTTTGATTTTTTAATAATTTTTTTGATATTTATTTTGAATTTTTGGTAGTTTTTTTGTAATAAATTTGACAATTTAGTAATAAATAATCTGTTTGGTATTTTGTGATTTTTTTTCGTTATGAACTTTGATTGATAGTAAAGTGTTGTTTAAAATTTCATTACAAATAGATATCATTTGTGTTTCCTGCAACATCTTACTTTTATATATACTAATAGGATCATTTTAACGTCTGTGAAATCACTAATGCCAGGTTGCCGACTTGAGAAAAAGACAGGGAAATTTTTTTTCTCTTTAACATTGGAATCCGTCGATCAAATTTCAAACCTTTTAGAGTAATTGAAGAGTGATCCACACTCAACCCTATATTCACCTTAATCTATTATCACCTAAAATGATTTCATTCTGTGCAATCTCTATTATGTTGAAAATATAGTAACCATCTTGGTTAATAGTACATGCTTGCACCCGGCAGTGCTCTCCTCATTATGCTGGATACAAAATAATATTTACATAAAGCAAGTAAAATTACTTGCCCAAATATTTTGCTATACAATTTACAGAATTATAACATGTATCTCTACTCTTCAATCAGCTCACCTTCTTCTTAAACATCCTCCTTATCCTTCGAGTTACTAGCCTTCGCTGTTCATCATGAATGGGAGGGTGAGATTCTAAAGAATCCCCGTAGTAGTAATTTCCATCAAACAAATGTGCAGATTACATAAAGCATGCAAAACAAGCCAAAATAGAACATAACCTTGCCAGCTAATGCAATTAAGCATTTATGCGCAATGACAGATAGACAAGCTGAATAAATAATGCGCAAATAATTGGCAATCACTGCCCCATGTCTATCAGCTACACGTGATCACGGCTAAATAATCCATGCAAGGAATTAAGGATTACATGTTCTCATGCTTTAGAAAAGCAATATGGCACAAACAGACATGCAGCAATCATACACAAGTGTAAGGTAGGAAAGAACTACTACCTGGTCTGCTTCCCTCTAAACCAAACCTTACCGTTCTCCATTCTTTCTGCTTCTTGGTGAGCTTGAGAATAGATCAAAACCTATCATGTTTGTAAGGGTAGATCAATATTTGATCCAACTGTAATTCATAAATTAAATAATTCTCTTTAAATCCCAAATCTTCTTTAATCTCTACCCTTACATAATAGTTGGTCATCTTTGATAATTTTTCTTATTCAAACTATTCTCTTTGGAACGATTCCTTCCTTATCTCGACCCATAGCGTTACTTTACTTTTTCTTATTCCACCAAATAATTTAATCTAACACTCCAAAATAAATCTACAAACCTTTCTAGTTATTATTAGCAACTCATATACCTTTAAGATCCTTATTTAACTTCAATAATTCGAAAATTCCAACTTTCCCAATTATGAACCTCACGGACAACACAGCAACCAAACAGCACATGCATGTATTAATCTAGTTTCCTTCTTTCCTCCCGCCATGTGTGTGTATCACTTTTCACTTCCGATCTGATTTTAGCTTCCAAACTCACTCCTCACGGCATCTTCACACATACACATAAGCTTCTGTTCTCCCCGTTCAAACAGATCCAAAATCACTATCCTACATTTAACACAGCTAGCTAGTTATATACATACATACATATATATATATTCAGAAGTCGGCCAACACAGAGCGCATATATATATATTACTCCAGTACGTTACACCCCCCAGGTCAATAACACACAAAAGTATAGATATACGTTTTGCATCTTCCTCGGTCCCTTCCTCCAAACCGTAACCAACCTTAAACAAAAGGTTTTCCCCCCTGTTTAGAAACAGCAAAACCAGACTTCCCCAAGCTTTTAACCCTTGTTCGGCCAGCAACAAAACGGAGCAAGAATTCGATACACACATACACCTACAGCGATGGGTTACACATACACACCTTTCGGGTATAAAGCAGAGGCAAAGAAAAAGACATGCAACCTTAAAAACCAACATCAAACACTTCAATCTAGCCATAGAATTTGAATCCATCTGTCCTCTTATCATTTCCATCACTTTCTCTCACTACCCTTCTGTCTCTCTCTCCTCAAACACGCCATAAACATGACCGAAACCAGAAAATGAAAACAGTGATGGACATGTGAAGCTCACCTGATTCAGAATCCAAGTTTGCATGCAAGAAAAACTACCTCCGATCAATTACTCCGTCACCAACCTCTTCCTCTCACGGTCTGTCCCTCGCGCTCTCTCTCTCTCTTTCAGCGTTGCAGAATGAAGTGAAAAAGGAGGGTAGGATCGGTCTGGAGGTTAAAGAGGCAGAACACGTGGATGACCAACTAATAATTGAGGGAGTGAATCAGGTGGCAAACAAAGAAGGCAGCACGTGTACTACATGGTTGCTGAGTCATTTTGCCCTCCTAAATAATTATTCCTCCAATCTTATTCCTTCTCCTATTTTTCTGAAATATAAGATATATCCAGAAATTAAACCAAAATATCATAAATGGATTTTTCTTATCCATTAGCTTCTTTGACCCATAAAATAATTTTCCTAAGAAAATAACCCATTTTGCTATAAAAATAGCTTTAAAATCATTTAAGCCAGTTTTTTGGGGAATGAACTTTTCCAAAATATTTCTAAACCTTAAAAAAATCAATATTCCATAATTTTCCCCAATTGTGATTGAGCTATTAAATAATTTTAATGAACTTTCTCTTTTCTACTCATCCTGAGTCAGAAAATTCGGGGTGTTACATTTTCGTTTTGAATTCAAAAGTTTTAGCTTTAAGAATCTTTATTCATTGAATTGGTTTGAAATTGAATATTTATTTTTGTCAGAACGGAGGACCTGAAGGAACATATGGTTTTATGTGTCCTTAAAGGGTGCAGAAAGAGCTTAATACTGCGGAAGCAAGGTTGATCTACATGATGACCACAATGACTCAGACCAGAAAGCCAATATATTTTGTACCTTACGTGGAAGGGTAAGTGTATTATTGTATTTCAAATACACAAGTTGTATGTGTAGGATTATAATTAACATGGTTTGTCTTTTGTAATTATCATTGGACTCTAATTATTTACGCTCCTTTTGATAACAAAGTTTACTGGTTCGATTCACTTTGTGGAAGTCTATCCGAAGAAACCAGAGACGTCATTGACACATTAGTTTATGTTTATATATTTATTACGTGTGAAGTTTATAAAAACATGCTCTAATATCATTTTCTTTTATACTATTGATAGGGCTTTTCATGGTTTCAATGTTATGGCAATTAAACAAAATAGACAACTACTAACATGCATTCTCCTAAAGGTATGTTGTTTTGAACTAAATATATACTTTTAAACCTTTTTAGATGAATTAAAGTTAATATTTATAATTAATAATGTCTAATATTCAATTTTATATATTTTATTTTCTTAGTACCGTTGTCAACAAGGACATGTTGAATGTGGATATTATGTCATCTACTACATGAATGACATCATTGAGACAGGAGTGACTGAGAAATTAGACGCGGTAAAGATAAGTTACGTTGCATGACATTCTTCAATTCATTTCACATTTTTTATTAAGTTTACTATGTTATTTTTTATTAACAAGTATTTCAAAATACTGCGCCATACACTACAAAAAAATATGTTAATTCTAGCGGTTAGAGTGTTACATTTCTAGCGGTTTTAACCGCTAGAAAAACAGGTGCAAGAAAAAATTTCTAGCGGTTATCGCAACCGCTACACATCATGGTCAAAACGATAGAAAATTTCTAGCGGTTTCTAACCGCTAGAAAATATCTGAAGGAGACACATTTCTAGCGGTTATAAAACCGCTAGAAAAGTTCCCGGAAAAAAATTTCTAGCGGTTTTATAACCGCTAGAAACTTGCTAAACGAAATCCATTTTGCCGGGAATTAAATAATTTCAGTAGCGCGCGAAAATTACTAGCGGTTATATAACCGCTAGAAATGTTTGGGAAATTAAATTTTCCCGCCAATTGAATTTTAGGAATGGCGGGAAAAAATTTTCTAGCGGTTTTGAACCGCTAGAAATTTTGGCGCAAAATTTAAATTTGACGAAATATTTCTAGCGGTTCGGAACCGCTAGAAATGTTTACCGTGCCAGAAAAAAAAATTTATGGTTTTTCATATTATAATTTTAAAAACCATTAAATAAATTATTTTGAAGAATTTTTGTTAATTTGTATAATTAGTTATATGTTACATTTTATATATTCAAATTTTGTAATAAAAAATATGTAATTAAATTATGAATGTGTCAAAAGAAGTGAATTTAATTTAATAAGATAATTTAATTGAATATTTAATAAGATAGTTGAATTGAAGATGATATATTTTGGAATATTGAACCTATAGTATTAGGTTGATGAGTATTTGAATCAGTTGAGGAGGGCATGACAAATGTGGAGAAGAAAAATCTGAAAGGAAAGGAGAAATAAATATGTTAGTAAATTTTAAATAAAAACAAATAAAAGATACAATGAATTATAAAATAAAATTCACTTACCATAGAGTAAAGAGAAAAAAACCACCATATGAGATAGTAAGAAAAAAAGAGAGAATTATGAAGAAGAATAGGAGAGGAAGGAAAAGATATGGAGTAAATGAATGTAGAGAAGATTTGGTATTTATAGAGATCAGCGACACATTTGTAGCGGTATTTTTGTAGCGTTTTATTGCATTTTGTAGCTGTTATTCATTTTCTAGCATATATATAAGCGCTAGTATTTCGTAGCGGTTATTTATGTAGCGGTTATTAACCGCTAGAAATTTAGTATTTTTTATTTTTAAAATCTGAACGAATTTTAATTTACAGATATGTATTTTGTAGCGGTTATTAACCGCTACAAATTACAATTTCGTGAAAATAAATTTGTAGCGGTTAATAACCGCTACAAATTACAATTTCGTGAAAAAAATTTGTAGCGGTTATGTAACCGCTACAAATGAAAATTTTTTTATTTTTAAAAAAACTGTACGAATTTTAATTTATACATATGTATTTATGGACGAAAAATTTGTTAAATAATTTATTTTGGATGCTGCTATTCTCCATCCATCATCCGGCCTGAAAGGACACATTTTAAAAAAATTTGTTAAATTTATGTTGTATTTGGAAAAAATTAGTAATTAGTAGTTAATTATTTAAATAATTTAAGAAAAGACGTGTACCTGATAAGTGGCAAATTATCATCTCCTTGAGGAAAGAAGTCTTCAAAATTCGAGGGTTGGAAGGGTTCACTGTCGTAAATAATGTCACCATCACCCATATCGTAAAGATCCCGTGGCTTGAGGTGAACGACCATATTCCAGTCTTTATGTTTCTCGTCCTCGACATAGTAAATTTGGTGTGCCTCAGAAGCAAGGATATATGGCTCATCATCTTCAGATGCCCCCGTATGAATAAGTCTAGAGAAATTGACTGAGGTGATGCCCTGAAGTTGAACTTCCCTTAATTGTCGCTTTGGGGTTACTCCAAAAATTAACCGAATTAATGCAATATAGTGCACAATCCGGGTCGTTTCACTTTGAGGAGCCGAAAACGAAATTAAACCCTAGTAAATAAATGCAAGTAACCTAAACTATAAAAAGATATTTTTGATGTTGAAAAGCTATTAATTAAATACTACGAATCAAATTGAGATTAAAATACTTTTTTTGTTATTTTCTTTTATATAAAAGATGATTGAAATAACTGAAGATGAAAGAAATGAAAATGAGACACACAAATAACACTGATAAAAGTCAATCCTCCAATTCAACAATACAGGCAATCATCACTCTAAAAGATGTGGGAGTTAAAAACAATGAATTAAGAATTATAATTAAGCTTTTGATCCAACAACCGAGCCACCTCGAGTTGCCACAAAATATTTTCCTAAAATCCCAACTTACTAACTGCAACCAGAATAGTAAAATGGGATTAAGGATGCTAAAAACCAATGCTTAATTAGAACTCTTAAATTCAAAATAACAGAATTAAAGCTAGCAAGAGACTATATGATCCAAAATTCTAAGCCACCTTAGAAAATCACAATATATTAATTCCAAAATCAATACAAATGTCATAACCACAACATTATAATTGAGATCAAAACTATAAACAGCCCAATGTCAAATACTAAGCAATAATTCAGTCACAATAATCCCCAAATATAATCAGATTAAGCAATACAATTATCCCAATAATTAGAAAAACTATCCTAAGACCTAGGAATTGTTAAACAATTATTGAGTAAGAAATTAAAGTAACTAGAACTCCCCCTTGAAGATCCAAGCTCCTGCCATTATTGTTGAATTGGAGAATTATAGATTCTAGCCTCGGTTTGCCATAAAAAATGTCATATTCAGAATTTTGCAGTCAGCCATGGAAGAACGCAGCGTGAATCCTTTCCTCCGTCGTCAAGCTCGCGCTGTCCAGGTCTCTGTTTCGTTTTATCCTCCTTAGGCGTCCGCGTGTGTAGCTTCCGGGTCTCCTCTCTGTTTCGTCCAGCCCGTGTGTCTGCCTCCAGCTCGCTCGACGTCGTGTTCAGCTTCGTGTGCGCGTCTCTCTCCGTTATTTCCTTCTCTCAGCCGCCGTCGAACTCGCTGCCACCAGTAAGAAGATGACGATGATGATGGTTTTGAACGGAGATGGGAAAGGTGATGATGAGGGATGGATGAGTCTGCCTCTCCACGCCGTCGAGCTCGTCCAGCCTTCTTCGTGTGTTGCTCTGTTTCGTTTTCTTTCCTCTGCCGCGCCCCGCTCTGTTTCTTTCGGCGTGTTCGTGTGTCTCTCCTTTCGTTCGGCCGCCTGAAGATGATTATTAGGTTGGGGCAAAACGCAACGTTTTGCCCCCAACTTAATATTATATTTTTTTTTAATTTAATTTTTTTCTTCTTTTATTTTTTTTTTATTTTATTTTTGAATCTTCCAAGAACCTGCAAGCAAAATTCAAGGATAAGGTAGCATTAATTGTCCTTAAAAATCAATTAATCATAATTAAATCAAAACATGACAATTTTGCCCCTATAAAATAATAATTCAAAATAAAACAAAATAAATCAATTAAGGCAAAAAGGAACCAATTAAGCTGACAAAACTCATATAAAAGATACCAAAACATATAAAAATAATTGAGTTTGTCAACTCCCCCACACTTAGCCTTTTGCACTCCTGGGCAAAACTTGATTAAAGAAGAATCCAATAGAGACACTCAATGCAAGCAAACATAAAACTAACTAAGCATGAATGTGCAATTAACTCAAGCAACCTTTATTCTTGATTAATCAACAATCATAGAATACTTCAGTGCAAAGAAATTAACACAAGAAACATAGCAGGATAAAAGAAGAGAAACATAATAGAGCTCACATAGGGTACAAGTGTTTCACTCATCTCTCAAATGGGAAAAATTTCACTCAATTCACCTAGATTAGCACCTACCATAAGCTTGTAGAGATTCTAATATCTCCACTACTAACATACCTTAGAGTCATGATCAAGGGGACTTGAAGGGTTGTAATGTTGGAAAGCAAGGCCAAATGAATGAAATGAACTAGCAACTGAAATGCATGAGTAATAAAGTATCAACTCAAAGTGAGCTAAAGTACAATCATGAAACAACACCAAAGTGCAGATTTTAACCTTTTAAGACAAAAATCTTTGCTCTTCAAACCACCATGGAATGCTTTATTTCAAATTTATTCTTTTGTTGCAACTTATTTTCTCTTTTTTTTTTTTTAACTTTCTTTCTTTGGCTTTTCTAAACATTTTCTTCTCTTTCTTGCCTTTTTTTCTATTTCTTTTTTTTTCTTTTTTTTTTTTTTTGCATCCAAACTCAAGAAGGCAAAGATATTGACTTTAATGATGTACTTTTCAAAATGAAAAATCAGATAACTCATGCAAAACACTTGCTTAAAAGTACTGAATGGAATGAAAGTGAAGGCTCAAAGGGGTGAACAAAGGTTAAATGAAGTGGTTTGTGTTTGGGTAAAGGGTTTAGAAATGAATGCCCCTATCATCTTCACAAACCTAGGTATTAATGCAGCTTTGAAAAAGAATCTAGACAAGTTCTAGAGGTTAACCAAAACTAGGTGAAAATCACACAAGATGAGAAAATATATGGCTCAACAATCCTTCCATCAAGGCTTTCTCCAAGATGTTTCCTCCTTAAGTATCAAGCTATGAAACAAGGTTAATAACACTGCACCAAAGGCATTCTACTATGCTAATCAACTAAGAACAGAAATCACTTAAATCAAATGCAATCAAACTCAGCCGTGCAACATTCACAAGCATTGTGCAAAAAGATTTTAAAAGAGATGCCCAAGGATTACAAAAGTCAAGAGTCAGCAACAGAGAGAAACAGCAACTCGCCCATACAGCAGTGCAGAGCACTGAGGCGAATGAAAATAGGAGGACACAGAAACTAGCAGCAAAATTCCCAAGCAAGAATCACTCTCAAATCATGCGATGCAATTCAGAAATCAACCAATAGGCAGAGAAGAGAGCAATTATAGCAGCAATACTTAGGAAACAGGAGCAAATCCAAAGGCAAAATTTTTTTTTTTTTCAAAAGAAAGCTCAACAACTCAACAACAATCCCTCCCCCACACTTGATCAATACATTGTCCTCAATGTTAAGATAATGTGAAATGAAAATAGACAAATATAAATCAAGTGATCAGAAGAGATGGCAGAATCAAGAGGAAACAAAACAAACAACTACTAAACAGAAATAAACAGCTACAACTACAGCTACTGGAAAAGTTCCCTCCCCCACACTTACTCCTAACTATCTCAGCAAACAGATATCACCAGCAATACAACATAAAGTAAAAGAGTAGGGTGGAAGGGAACAACCGGGTGATCAGGGAGGTCTGTGATTCTCATGGTAGTGCTTCAGTAGATGGCCGTTGACTTGTGAAGTTATACCGGTCTCCTCATCTACGAGCTCTACCGTGCCAAAGGGATATACTTTAGTAACTCTAAACGGACCTTCCCACTTGGTGACAAACTTCCCGGGCATCAGCTTCAACCGGGCTTTAAACTTTAGAACCTTGTCACCTTCATGAAACTGCTTCCTCAGAATCTGTTTGTCATGAATCATTTTCAGCTTGTCTTTGTAGATTCTGGCATTGTCGTAGGATTCAAGTCTCATCTCTTCAAGTTCCTGGAGTTGCATCTTCCGATTGATAAGTGAAGATTCGAGATCTGCATCACATGCCTTGATTGCCCAATAAGATTTGTGCTCGATCTCCATAGGTAGATGGCAAGCCTTGCCATAGAGCAACCGGAAGGGGGACATGCCTATAGGGGTCTTGTAGGCAGTCCTGTAAGCCCAAAGAGCTTCCTCAAGCCTTTCACTCCAGTCCTTACGGGATGGTTTCACGATCTTCTCAAGTATTCGTTTCACTTCCCGGTTAGAGACTTCAGCTAACCCATTCGTCTGAGGGTGATAAGGAGTGGCCAGCTTGTGATTGACTCCATGTTTAGCCAATAGAGACTTGATGGTCCTGTTGCAGAAGTGTGTTCCTTGGTCACTGATGATTGCTCTTGGAATGCCATACCTGCAAAAGATATGAGAACGTAAGAACTTGGCAACAGTAGAAGCATCATCTTTCCTAGTTGGCACTGCCTCTACCCATCGAGACACATAATCTACTGCAAGTAATATGTATGAAAATCCAAAAGACGAAGGGAAGGGACCCATAAAATCCATGCCCCACACATCAAAGATTTCACAAAAATGCATAGGTCTTAGAGGCATCTCATGCTTCCTACCCAAACTCCCAAACCTCTGACACTTATCACAAGACTTGCAGAAAGAATAAGCATCCTTAAATAGAGAAGGCCAATAAAAACCACACTCTAAAACCCTCCTAGCAGTCCTATTAGCACTAAAATGCCCCCCACAAGATAAAGAATGTGCAAAGGTAAGGATAGAGTGGATCTCATTATTTGGAACACAGCGTCTGATGATCTGGTCACTGCATTGCTTCCACAGGATTGGAGCATCCCAGATATAGTATCTTGCCTCCCTCTTCAGCTTATCAATCTGAAATTTAGACATAGAAGGAGGTATAAGGTCAGTGACAAGATAATTAACTATATTAGAGTACCAAGGCTCATGAACAGCCAAGGCAAAAAGTGCAGAATCAGGAAATGAGTCAATAACAAGATCAGAAGAGTCAACTCCCTGTGTGCCTTCAGGTAACCGACTAAGGTGGTCAGCTACATGATTCTCTGCTCCAGCTCGATCTCTAATCTCGATATCAAACTCCTGTAGCAGCAAAGCCCATCTCAGCAGTCTAGGTTTAGACTGAGGCTTCTTAAATAGGTACCGAACCGCTGCATGATCTGTAAAAACAACCACTCGAGAGTTTATAAGATACTGTCTAAACTTATCCAAAGCAAAAATAATAGCAAATAGTTCCTTCTCCGTAGTGGTATAATTCACTTGAGCGGAATCAAGCGTCTTGGAGGCATATGCGATGACTCTAGACTGTTTCTCCTCCTTCTGTCCAAGCATGGCACCTACTGCAAAGTTAGAAGCATCACAAGACAACTCAAAATGTAAATTCCAGTTAGGTGCAGTGAGAATAGGAGGTGAAACAAGCATAGATTTCAAAGTGTCAAAAGCATGTCTACACTTATCATCAAATTTAAATTCAGTATCTTTTTTCAATAAGGTAGAAAGAGGCAGAGCAACTTTACTAAAATCCTTAATAAAGCGCCGATAGAAACCTGCATGTCCTAAGAAAGACCTCAAATCCTTTAAACAAGTAGGATAAGGAAGGGATGAAATAACTTCAATTTTGGCCCTATCAACCTCAATCCCCTTTTGGGAGATGAGGTGACCTAAGACTATCCCTCTATCAACCATGAAATGACACTTTTCAAAGTTTAAAACCAATTTCTTATCAATACACCTCTCAAGAGCCTGTTCTAGGCTATTCAAGCACTCATCAAAACTCTCACCATAAACAGTGAAGTCATCCATAAAAACTTCCATGTTTTGCTCTAGAAGATCACTAAATATCGCCATCATACACCTTTGAAAGGTGCCTGGAGCGTTACACAACCCAAATGGCATCCTTCGATAAGCAAAGGTACCAAAAGGGCATGTGAAGGTAGTCTTGTCCTGATCTTCAGGAGCGATAGGTACCTGAAAATAGCCAGAAAAACCGTCAAGAAAACAATAGTGAGACTTTCCTGAAATTCTTTCCAACATCTGATCTATAAAAGGTAATGGAAAGTGGTCCTTTCTCGTAGCATCATTCAACTTCCTATAGTCTATACACACTCTCCAAGCATTTTGAACCCTAGTTGGAATCAGTTCATCATTTTCATTTCTCACTACTGTGATACCGCTCTTCTTTGGTACTACTTGTACCGGACTTACCCACTCACTGTCTGATATGGGATAGATGATCCCAGCACTCAACAACTTTGAGACTTCCTTCTTAACCACATCCAGAATGAGAGGATTCAGTCTCCTCTGTGGTTGCCTAACTGGCTTGGACCCTTCATTCAAAAGGATCCTGTGTGTGCAAACTGAGGGATTAATCCCCGGAATATCCCCTAAAGACCATCCTATAGCCCCTTTATGACTCTTCAATACAGAAATCAATCTTTCTTCTTCAGAACTACTCAAAGAACTGGAAATAATAACAGGCAATTTAAATCAGCAGCAAGAAAGACATATTTCAAATTAGAGGGGAGGGGTTTCAGTTCTAAAAGGAGGTTGCACAACAGAAGGAACTAATTCTTTTATGTCAAGTGCATTCAATGCAAGTGGCATGTCCATATGGC